ACACTTTATTTTGATAGTCCACTTTAGACATTCTATTAACAGTAAGTAACTTTGCAACTACATGTCAACTAGCAGTTAGTAGAGTATTAGTAAACTGTCTGCTTATTATCTTCTAACACTTTCTTTGTCAACTTATTCTACTAACCCTAAACCTACCCTAACAGTCTACTCTGAGAGTTAGTAGACATGTAGTTGCAAATTAATTAGAATTTGTTGACATGTAGTTGACATGTAGTTACAAAGTTACTTATAGTTAGTAGAATGTCTAAAGTGGCCTATCGAAATAAAGTGTAACCGAAGATTTTGCATAATGCCGCCCAAATGTTCACGCAAAGAAAGAAGGTGTAACTTTTATTCTCGCTGTAGTATTGTTGCCGCCGCCGCCATGTCGTGAAGACGCTGTGTGTTTCGTTGCGAAAGCGAAAATAATTTGTTTGGCCTTCCAAGAGGACACAACTAGAAATCAGTGGTTAAGTTGTATTTACAACACTGTTCCAGAACAGTTCAACCCAAATATTCAGATGTATGCAGCGCATTTTATGGAGAACCGTTTCCTGATCCTGGGAGTAGCCTACAGTGCCGGCTGTTCTGACTCACAGACTGTAAGTACGTTTTCATATTTAAAAAATTTGCCACTTACGATTCAAACGCAAGTTTTGAGCAGTGTAGAGTAGCACTTGTTGTTTGTCGTTTCTCCGATCACAAATGCAGACATGGTTTTATGTTTACGTGGCGCGACGCGATGCAATGCGTAAAAAGACAGTATAAGTCATTATAATCCGTAATTATGTCCCCACTGGATGCAACAAATGCCTAATTTGTAATGGGTTTTATTGGTTAGACCGATGAGCTTTGTAAAAATCGATGCGTTTCAGAAAGGCGGGACATAGAGGAGAAACAATAATGTACAGTATGTGGAAAATAATGTGTTTTTTTAACCTTAAACCGCATAAACACATTTCATTACACTAAATACACAAAATAATGTTCTTTTTTAGCAACATCATATGGCCCCTTTAATAAATGAGTTTACTATGGGTACTTTAATGTGTTCTTGCTGAATAAAAGCATTAGTTTCTTTGTTCTTTTTTTTCTTACTGATGCCAAACTTTTGAATGGTAACATGTTTGTATATAAACGTATATTATATTCATTAATACATGTAAATCACATATTAATAAATATAACCCCATATATACACATTAGGGCTGTGCAAAAAATCGAATGCGATTTTCATGCGAATCTCGTCAGTAAAGCTGCTTCTGGTGATTAGTAGTAAATCTCCAGCACGTGCTTTCAGATGGAGCGGCATTTACTACACAGAGCCGTAGTTCACTGACAAGCTACACAAAATCGCGTTCAAAATCGCAGGTGTAGTAAATGCCGCTCCATCTGAAAGCACGTGCTGGAGATTTACTACTAATCACCAGAAGCAGCTTTACTGACGAGATTCGCATGAAAATCGCATTCGATTTTTTGCACAGCCCTAATGTGTATATATGGGGTTATATTTATTAATATGTGATTTTAATAAATACACATATGCAAAAATAGTATGAGTAGTGTTCCAAACATACCCAAAGATACAAAATGACATAATACATTTTGAATGCAACATTGACGCACCATTTTAATTGGCTGGCAGGTCAGATCTGAGTCGCTGACAGGCGTGTCATCACCCTCCATGACATAGATGCCTTTGCGAGACAAGGCCTGGATGACTGACTGGTGGGACTGCAGAGAGGCCACCTGGTCTCCTTTGAGAATGAGGCCGCACACGCGACAGTACAGCTCACAGGACAGCAGTAACCGGATCACCGGGGGCTTAATGTGCTCCTGGTCATACTGGTCTGTGTAGAACGGGTCTCGCAGGTCCTCTGGGATGTGATCTGACAGGAGCAGAAAACAATAAATTAGGATATAAAGAAATTAAGACCCTGATGAAATAGGCCTACTGAGGATGTTTTCAACTGTTATTGTTGCTACAACTCTGCTGCGTCTGGCATCAGATGCAATCTGCCAGCAATCCCTTGCTTTGTTGCCAACTAATGCACTATGTGCTAGACAATAGCATGATGGTGTGAAAAGCCAGCCATAGGGCTCTACCCTCTTCATGAGATCTCCTGTGCAGTCGCAGATCAGCTGTGGCAGCTGGGGTCTGGCTGCAACCAAAAAGCTCAAACAGAGGGGAGCAAGGCCAGACGTGTCCTAGTCTGAGCAGCCATTGCTCCGTCCGTCCATACCCAGCTCTCATGCATCCACACCCTCTGCACCGGTATCCCCCAGGAGAAGCATATCATTAATGTGAAGGCACTGGGTGCAACCATCCAGCATGAATTTATGCACACACCTGCCCCCTCTGATATACCACGTGGAGCTGTCTGCTTTGTTCCAAACCAGCATGTCTGCCACAAGCAGGCGTTGTTTAAAGAATGGTACTTAATAGTAAGTAAAAAAAAGAACAAGTAAGTATTATACAATTATGACACAGGGAAGTAATCATAGCATTGCATTAGCATTGCATAGCATGTGCACGGGGATATCTATTTACAGCTGGAACACTATAATGAATGACTTAAAAAATGTATTCAGCCATTTCTACTTCATTTTAAATGGTCATGTGCTGTGACAAATGATTCATTAAGCAATGCACATAATATATACTTTCAATTATATAAATCTGTCAATTCTTATGAGGTCATAAACCTGCAGGCATAATAGTTAAGAATTTCGATAACACTTCACAATATGTATTAACTAACATTACTAACAATGAGCAATACACTTGTTACAGTATCTATTAATCAAACTGTTAATTTTAGTTCATATTAGCTCAGGTCCATTGAATAATATTAACAGTCACAACTTTTGATTTTAATACTGTATTAGTAAATGTTGGAATGAACATTAACCAAGATTAATAAATGCTTTAGAAGTATTTTTCATTGCTAGTTCATGTTAACTACTGTAGTTAACTAATATTAAATGGATGTAAATTTTTGTAAAGTGTTACCAGAATGTCATCTTAGTGTAGGCCTACGTGTTAACTATATTAAACATGAAAAATTCACAAATCTACACCAAAGGGCAAGACGCAGAAAACAGGGTCCCAGTTGCAATCATTTGCATTTATACTACGTCTCAGATTTAAAAAAAAAAAGAAACTGTAATGGACATTCAAAACAACATTCAAAGCAGTGATTAGCAGAACGCAAAGAAGCCCTCCAAATCTGGGCCACTTCTGACAGTAAAGAGGCACATGGCCTTCATCGCCATTCAGGCCAATTACTGGGCCGAAACAACTCCACAGCTTTACTGAAGGGAATATCCTGAACAACAGATGAACCAGAATGGGGGGAAAAGGACAAAGAACTGAGTAGCAGTGGAATAACAAAATGTACTTGAACTTCAACTCACAAACAAGTACATACCTGACCCTCCAAGAAATGCAATGAATTACCTCCCATGTTTACATAATACATTGATATCCATGGTATTATTATTACCAATTAGTATTATGGCAAACTGACACACCCTGCATAGACTGTTCAGAAAATTCAACATTCAACAGCAGAGAGAGAGTTTCCTCAGCAAACGAGGTCAGGAGTCTTACACACCACATTTCTGTTTCATTCACTGATGATGGCAGACCAGGGTGCCTTTTTGTGAGAGGGGTTACAGGCTACATATCAGTACATGCTTGAATACATCCTTCAATAGGATAGCATTCCACGGTGCCAGTCTTATGAGGTGATTTAACAGGAGCCATATGCTCAAACAGATCTTGTGTGCAGCTCTTCTGGGTACCACCATGAATCAATACTGAATAAGTCTAAAAATTAAATGACAAACTAAATGAATACGTACATGAAATGAAAAAGTGGAAAAAAAATTCCACCTATTAGAAGTTTGATGTAATTTGGCCACACACAGCACTGCTCATATGAAACAGTCATTAGTGACTGATACTAGAGCATAGGCTAAAAAAAGCTTCCTACTTATCTATAAAATATGCAGCAAATGAGTTGCACTTGCACTTGTGTGATGTCTTTATGTGCCGTAACTGAATGTACTGAAAGTAAACAGGTTTCTCCCCATTCACTTTCAGATGCAAAAGTGCAGCCTGGATATTCTGCTGAACTTCTCCATTTGTGCTCCACAGAAGAAAAAAAAAGTTTCGAACAACGTAAGGGCAACTAAATGATGACAATCCTTAATTTTTGAGGAATTACTAATTCAACAGATGTATAAAAACTTGATTTTTTTTTTTAATTTAACGTATACATAATATACTTCTTTGGATAGAACAAAAAAAAAAACAGACTCTAGGTGCCCTGCATACAGTGAATGCTCCATATCTGCTGACAGGGAGTCAATAGCATTAGGAAAACCATTCCTGTTCATCCACAACATTTCAATAGTGCAAGCTCTGCAGATGGGACAAATGCTTGTGAACCTGACTGAAATACCACAACAGTGGATTCGGACTGCTGCCCTCCCACCCCAAAACAACTACACTCCCCCATAAATCCCACAGACTGCTACTTCAGAGATATTTACATTATTCAACTAGACAAATCAATAAAGAATAGGGCTGATTAAGCCTTTTCAGGCATAACATTTGTAGGCAATATGCAATTGATACATATGTAATATTTCTTGACCTCTCAAGGTGTTGAGTGGTATTTGTTTTGTGCAATGCTTAAAAAATTACCCTAACCCTAAATCAGTGCCCTCTGAATGGATAACAGAGTAAAATACCAGCAATACCATTTCTGTACCATAGCAACACCATGGTGTTTAGATATTTTATGTAGCTTGGAGTATCATGTCAAGACCTTGGTACTGTATGTAAATACTTACAAAAAAAGTAGCAGCTTAATTAGGAGCCTTAATTAGAATCACTGTTTATTTAATTCTTACAGTGAAAACTAATGCAGTGTTTCATTTTACATTTGATTACTAGTTTCAATTTATATAATATTTCTTGAATACTACTGTTAGATAGACCAACTTGAAAACTTTATTTATATAATTGTTCCTGTAGTTTTACATTTTTTTTTCTTTCTTATTTTTATATTTCTGACTGTTTACCTCTATTCAATAATTATAATTAATTTATTTTGTTATCAAGAATTCCAAAATTTCAGTGGTATCGAAAATATTGGTATTGTAACAACCTTGTTTCCAGTTTAAAAAAAACAGCAAAAGATACCATACTACTATAATGGTTGTTGAGATATGTATCATGGTATTCTTGAAAATACTTTTCCAGTATTCCCGGTGTACTACGTAATACCCTGGTAAATGACTTTCAGCAGCATCCATCACAGTTCCATGGTATTATCATCTGATACCAGTGCAGTTCAATGTCCCTGTGCTTTTTTGTAAGGTTAGACAGAGTGAAAATACCATAGTTTTATTAAAATATAATTTGTACATACCACAGTATCCTTTAAGTACTACATAAAGGACCATAGTACATGTTCAAGTAGTATGGAAATACCATTTGTGGACATGTAATACGACAACGCCTAAGTAACTATGAGTATGGTAATCATTACCATAATCACTGCTCAGTGCCATAGTACAGAGATGGTATCAGATGGTAATATACCACAGGGGAGCAGCACACCACACATCTGTCTGTCTAGCCAACTGTCTTTGATTACATATCACACAGAATCGATTAATAATAAATAAATAAATAAATAAATAAATAAAGTGTCTTTCTCAGTTCTGATTCATAAACACAATCAAACCAACTCACCAATACCGAAGGCTTTGGCAAACAGCCATCGCAGATTAGCCGCTATTTTGGCTCGGGCTGAATCATACATTTCCAGCGGCACGATCTCCAGCGCCTCGCCCGCCGCCTCCATCTTTCTGCGGGCGCTGTCAGCACCCAGCTCCGCGTCCATCCTGCGACCACCGTCTGCTAACACACAAGCAAAAGCACTTTCAAACAACCTTTTGAGGGCATGCGGCGTTTCATAAGCTACATGTCAAGCACTGGGGTGTCAGAGGCTTTGGAGCAATAACTCAGTTCTTTAGCGTCCAAGCTAACTAGCACATGAGCATCTTTTATTCCAACCTTAACGTTACCCCCTAAAATTATAATAACAATAAAATCCCAGACACAAACGACATGTATATTTGTTACAAACAGCTACTGAACAAAACAAACCTGACCGCCTGGATCCTGACAAGATAAGCTAACTTGGCCTGTGATTAGTTTATATAGAAAGTAACTAACGTTAGCTAGCCGTCGCCCAGATAGCTAACAAACACCAAAATAATTTATTAAATGTTCAAACACTCACATGGAGAGATAGATTTAACCATCTGCGAGAGCTGCTGTCCTGAGCGTAAACTGGTTTGCATGTTTTGACTGAAATACAGTTAACGTTACAAGCAGCTAACAGCTAATGCTGCTTAATGAGATGAGGACTAGCAACCCGCAGCTAAAAAAACAGCTTCTTTGTCAGCAATTAATGAAAACAGCCATATTTACCGCCACGTACCTTCCAGATAGTAAACTATCAACAATCCACTCTGGCAAATCTGTGGGAGAAAAATGAGAGAAAAGGGTAACAGGCTCCGGCGGGAATCATGAGGCCACGTTTAGTCCGAACAGATACGAGTGAGTGTCGGTGGATGAATGACAAACCCTTGAGAGTGTGTTACAGCCTTCACTACTACCACACTTCAGAATAACAGCAACACACACCGTAAATACAGTTTTAAATGCGAATTATTGGCGATGTGCTGTTGTGAATGAGAATTATGCAGACAGATATTGTTTGTTATTAGGCCTGGTGTTGTGTTTTGTTGAGAAAAGCACGCACCTGTTTTACCTGTGTTTTTAAAAGATAACTGGAAATGCTTAGGGATGACGCTAAATTCTGGAGCTGAGCTGAGCTGATTCTTGATCTTTCCTAGTTATATCACGATAATTATTTGCTGTATTATTTTTGATCATGTTTATGGGCATTCCAGCCCTATGGATGAAGTCAGGTTACACATAATGAACACTGATAATACAGTGTGTTGTTTACGGGTCTTTATTGCCCTGTCTGTTAGTTGTGATAGATAGGCAATTTATTATTTGCAGATTCCTGGTGAATTTATTAAGTAATGTAAAATATACAAAGGTAGGTACTGTAACAGGGAGACACAAGTGTGATATCAAGTTTCCAATTTGTATATGGGTCAAAGAATAAAAGGGATTTTCTGGCATCAAAACAATAAAAGTACAATACAGCTTAATTATATTTTTCTGCACATTAGAATGTGTTCTGTTTCATTCATTCATTCAGTCTGAGTAAAAAAAATAATGACTATCATACATTTTTACAGAAGACAGCCACTAAAATGTCATTCAGTTTAACAATAGTTTATATTCCAAAATGTTGTCAAGCATATTTAGAACAAGATTAAGAACAAGAGTCATTAGATGACTCTTAATTAAAATACTTAATTGTTATTAAACCTTTACAAATCTTTGCCTTCAAACCACTAGGTTTTACCCATTTGTCAGCAGTTTTTATTCATTTAAAGTATAATAAAATTTAGTATGATCACTTTTTCTTTTATATATTTCAATAGGTCAGAATAAGTATGAATAAGTATAATTTTTTCATAAATATCCCACCAGGGAAAAAAAACAGTTTTGTGAATTTAGTATTTTGTCATGTCATTACATTGTTTAGAGCATAAGAAAAAATTTGAAAAATAAAACTTTTGTAAAATGATATTTTATTCATATGTTATGCCATGTCCTCTGTAGAGGACATCGGGACTTTAAAAGGATTTATATTGTATACCTAAATTCACTGTTATCCCACCAGTCACTATTGTGACCATCAAGATGTTTACTCATTCTATGACCACACTCAACAAAACGAAATATATGTGAATTCATATATTAATACTAGACACCCTAAAGATAATGTGTACCAAAAATCTTTGTCATATCTTTATGTTAACATACTTTACTAGCCTTTTGTTTTGGAGCTTTGATGCCGTTATCATCTTCTCAAGGTGCAAACAGGAAATAAACTACTCTGGTCATGTGACAATTTTCACCAACCATGTGAAAAACTGCACATATTTAATTGAGACCCTTTATTTATTTTTTTCCATTTTTGCAGGAAGTGCACTTAAACATCAGTCAGTAAGGTTTTTAGAGCTTTACAAATGAAAAACTTTTTTAAGGTCACTATTGTGACCAGCGGGATTAAATGGGTTAATGTGTTTTTGGGGCAACATAGAGCGAACAAATAAGTGCAATAATGTGAGCAATAATTAGCAAGATTTTCATAATAATATCTAATATTTAATAGGAATATTGATATATAATTTTTTGTCTATTCATTTGTTGTGTCTCCCAAAATGTGTAAAAAAAAAAAAACATGCTTTAAATCCTGGTGTCAGTGGACATGTATGAAATCGATGTCCTGTTTCATAACAGAAGGTCATATTTTGATTTGAAACCCCATAAAGTTTTCCTGAGATGTTGATTTATGACAAACAATTAAAAAAATTAAGTCAGATTTAAATGATAATTACAAAATATTATCATATTTCCATAAGGGTGTGCTACACTTGATCATTAAATTAATGTCAGCCATTTTCAAAGACCAAGGAGAGGGAGTGGTCAAACCTCCAATCATATCTCTGAAAAGCCCTGAATGTGCTCTGTACAGGACATCCAGACTTAAAACGGTGACATGTAACGTCTCAGAGAAATCGCTAAAACATAATGTCCTCTACAGTGGATAACACTCCATAGCTGGTAGTCAGGAGGATATACATCTGTTATGCTGAATGACGATGGAACATTATTTCACCCATATTTTGACTTTTTATTTTCCCAAAAGTTATTTGAAACATTAAAGTATACACTTTACTTGCATTCAATACACTTATACAAAATCAAATTTAATTTGATGCTAACACCAAAATGGGACATCTCACCTTTTGACCCATATAATTGTATTTAGCAATAATACACTATAATACACTTTTGTTTTCAAATATGAGCTTAGATCCAGGTTTAGAGTTCTACATTTTTCACTACTGTTGTTGTGAAGGTGGGTCTACTTTTAGTTTTAGCTGAGATTAGTTACGGCTTTAAATCACATGCAGAGTATGCATGTGTGTGTGTTTTTAATTGATTTTTTATAATAATAATATTTAGAAGTGCTTTGACTGGTAAAGTTTTCTCGGTTTTCTAACAACAGCTTATTGGACTCATATATATGTACAGGACTTTCTGTCAGCAGCCAACCACTGGTCTGCGTTCATTTGAAGTATCTGACGAATCCCTCTCCTTAATAACAAAGACATTATTGAGAATAAATGAATGATTTAGTGATCAATTTCTGCATTGTTGCAAAAAAATTCTATATTCTATATTGAATAATAATAATAAATATTATTTTATATTTTACTTTTTTGTTTGAATGGCCATTTCCTTCATTTAGAAAGTCACACCTCAACACGTATTCATCTTGAAAATACTTTTATTGAGCAATCATTCACCTCCTTGCACTGCCCTGCTATGAGTCTTACAAGCACTACAAAACACTGCCTTTGACTCACAATATTTATTAATGTGAAGACATTATACTTTGGGCAAAGTTTTTACCCTGTGTACTGTAAGAACATGCAGCAGATGCAGAGGTGTGGTCATTGTGGATTATGTAACTTTATGCTAGTCTGACTTAACTGATGCAGTCTAAATCTTTGGATTAATAAGAAAAGGTATGCCTCCATATCTCTCAAGCCTCAGATTTAACAGGGAGTTTGCAAAATGGTAAATAAATGAAAATAGCATTACCATTCTGTAGTTTACTTTACCATGATGTGTGCAGGCCTGTTGAGCAGGACACACAGATTCCAGCTACTCAGGAAGGGAAATTATGCCTAATGCTATCCTGATGTTTGTTTTAATGTTTTATACAGATAAATTATAATAAATAAATTAGCTTGCATGGAGTTTATGTTATGTGAGGAGGATTCTGCACTACATGTACTGTATCAAGCAGGGGCTGGCTGCATAAACTGTTTAGACTAGTCTTAAAAAGTTAGTCATCTATTTTTTTTTCTTCAAGACTGGTCATAACTTTTTTAATTCATTTATGAAAAGGTAGATTGGTCTCATTTGTATTGGAAAATTAAGACTGATTACCCTTTGGCATCTGCTAGTTGGTCAAACTAGTTCTTAAGACACAGTCTTAACACGGTGGCTAAGCAGTGGTGTATAAAGTACCTGAAAGCCATACTCAAGTAAAAGTACAGATATCTTACCAGAAAATTACTTTGGTAGAAGTTGAAGTCACCGTTTAGAATATTACTTGAGTAAAAGTCTTAAAGTATTTGATATTTATTGTACTTAAGTACGAAAAGTATTTTTTTAATCTTAAATGTACTTAAGTATTGAAAGTAAAAGTACAAGTAAATGCAAAATGGAAAAGAAGCAAATAAATATATATATAAAAGGTTCATACACAGCTTGAGTAGCAAGATTGTGTTCCGTTTTAACTCTGTCTTCCATTTTGTATTTTGGGTAAGAATAAGAAGCACTTCATCCGGTACTTAGTGTCTTTCATTCCAACATAAGAAAACATTTCTGGAATCTGCATCTGAAATAGCATTTAGATGTATTTACACAGTTTATGTATCTCAGAGGGGACATGGATGCATTTAAACTGTAGTTACAGATGAATAAATAGGCCTAATGTTTTGTTTTTACCATAAGATGTTGAATACTGATATTTGAAATAATTTAAAACATGAAAAACATAGAACCGATTAGTTCAAAATGCTGATTCATTCAATAAGTAAACACCGTCCATTGCTCAGAGACGCAAAACAGTGCTGTGATCTTTGTTTGGAACTATTTTCGTTGGCAAAATTGAGCAAAAACAAGCAATATTATGTCTTAAATGTAAGACACTTATTGCTTTACTGAACTTGTATAAAATGATTATTAAATGTGTTCATGCTGATATCTGCAGAAAAACGGTACTCTTTGTGTGGTATAGATTAAGTTAACTATATTAAGCATATAAAAAGCATACAGAAGCATTTTTGCCGTCTACAATTTAGAATGCCTGGAATTTTGAATTTTAATAGACTAATAAATCAGCGTGCGTGCGCTCTGTGTGTGATTTGGTGATATAGGCTAGCCTACTTGATAATGTCAGATTCGCACATCATTACAACAACACTTACCATATTATCTCAGACGATGCTGTATATCGCACACCTCAGACTCGACTTGAGTGGAAAATGAATCATCCGCGGTTGTGCGCGCACTTGTTTGCACGTGAGCAAGAGGTGTTTTTAGGAGTCTAACTTGCAAACGGCAGACCACTGATTTGTCAAACATGCTTTCCTGCAGTCCGTGTTCTTCTGACTTCGGACTATTTTGTAGTAAGTAACGGATATGCTTCGAGGAAATGTATTGGAGTAAACAGTATACATTTTAATTAGGAAATGTAGTGGAGTAAAAGTAAAAGTTGGCTAAAATATAAAAACTCAAGTAAAGTACAGATACTCCCAAAAATACTTAAGTACTGTAA